ATCAGTTCTCTGTACCACAGAGGCAAATTTGCTTTCACCAAGGAATACTGGTCAGCTTAAACTTGGTGCCAACTACCTGTAATGCATCTTTTATCAGCATACCCAGCGTGGCATACATAGCTAATTAATTAAAACAGTGATTCATTCCTATTGACAGGCTTAGGATTTGTGCTTATTTTTCAGCAAGGTCATACTGCCGGCATGGCTTCCGTGTAAAACATGGAGTTTGTAAGGGCATCAAGAGTCAAGCAAAGAGGAACTCGCAAGAGTAGAATTTAGAAAGATCATTCATACTTCATTGAACAGCTCTGTAGAAGGCAGAGAACATTTTCACAAGCATGTCTGACTGGGGCAAAATTTGCATTATTCCCATCAGTGGGGTACGAGCAGTGATGGAGGTTCATGAGGTCAAACACAAGACCTCTCCCTCTGTGGGCTTCAGGTCAGAGCTCAAGGACTTAAAATGAAACTTCATCTATGGTCACCTCTGACTATGAAGGTGTCTTTACAAACCACTCTGTAAGCCTTTATTTATTTATTGCTAACCTTAAACTATGCCCCAAAAATAAGCAAGAAAATAACCCTGGCCAGGTCACCAGTACAAAACCAGTCATTATCTTTGTGATTAACATTTGAGTAAGGAGTATCTGGCAGCTTCACAGTGAGCCAGTGCAGAATTATTCATATAAGGCAGAAGAAGCAGAAGAAAAAGAACCTGGTACAAACAAACAAGGAGAATTCCAGCTCAATAATATAAGCTGGTAAAAGGAAACCTGCAGAAATAAGAATTCTAGACATAAATACATGTGAATAGCTATACAGAGCAAGTTTATTCCTGATGTAAATCTGCAAGCTGAAATGTAAAGCAGAATATCCAGCAACCAGCTATGAAACTCTATCACAGATGCCAGAACTTAATAATGACCCAAACTGTTTTTTTTTTTTTTTTTTCATGGATAGCAGTCCATCTAAGAATGGATTAAATTATTTTCTCTTTGTGTTTTTTTTTCTGGGTTGTGCAGCAAATCTATCACCTTTTCTGAGGTCAGTGAAATTATAACACCCTTGTACTTTAAGTTACTTATTTCTCAAGTAAACAGATAAATTAGTCTACCATAAAACCTAAGATGTATCTAAAGAAAGTGGCAGCTCTCCAGGTGAAAAGAATCAGCCATCTGCTCTAAAAAAATCTAATAAAACACAGTGACAGATCACTTCACTCGCTGAGAGAAACTTGGAACAGTCGGGCTGAAGTCAGCAACTTGAAGCTGGAGGAGTCACACAACAGAGAGGCTGTAAATAATCCAGTGGGCAGTTCACAATTTGCTTTACCACATGCAGATTCAACATCCCCCTTAAGTGTTAATTTTTACTATTATTATTATTCTCTTTAATCCTTTCTGAGGTCTGTTTACAACTCTGATATGGTCTTTAGCTGGTAAGCCTTTTGGGTTTTGAGCATTACTACACAAAGGAGTAGATAAGACAGAACTAGAAAACAAGACCTTTCTATTTTATTTCTTGGAGTAATTCTTCTGTTTAATGACTTTTTGGATAGTCAATTCGTCATGTTTGGAGTGAAGGTATTTAAGAGTCTAGAGGTTAATTAGAAAAACAAAAGTTGACTTAACTGAAAAAGTTTAATTCAGCTATACGAACAGAGACAAACTGTTTTCAACGTAGAAGATCTGTTTGGAGCTGGTTTGTGCTGGAATGTCACCCACACAAATCTTGTGAGGGAACATTAAGTGACAATATGCTCAAAATGATGAAGCTTATGTTGGAGCAAAATTTCTGTGGCTGAAAAAAAACTTTTAAAGGAGGAAACATTTACATTCCAGTTTCTAATTTAGCTATTACTTAATTAAATATAAAAGTTTCATGTATTTTTTGCAAACATCTTCACACAATCTAAATTTTTTGTTACCACATCAGTTTTCTTCATGCTTTTCCCTTTTGTTTAAGCTCGTACCTCAGGCCTCGTTCCAGGATAAAATGTTAACTCTTTAGACTGGCTCTGTATTACAGACCAACTGCCAGTTTAAAGTTAGGACTTTGCTTCTTAAAAAGAAATTAAATGTTTCTATAAACTGTAGACTTGGTTCTCTACAGCCCCGGGGCACCTGGGCTAGTACTTCCTTCCCCAGAACCCAGCCCAGTTTCCTTCTGTTGGCTGAAATTAGCAATGATGAACATATGAATGAGAAAATACCCCCCAAAAAATATAAAAAATCATTTTGCTCAGGGCTGCAACTCCACTTAAAATACCTTCCTTTCTTGCACTGTCATTTTCTCATCCTACGATGAAGTTCTTAAACATGTGCAGTGGAAAACACAGCATCCCAGTGTGGAAGATGCTTAAAATCAAGATTGGGAAAGAGGAATTTTCTCCACAATACACATTTCATAAAAATGGAGATGCACACCCCTAGAGTCTGATCTTTCTGCTATTAGAATAGTCATTGCTCTTGCTGTGGAATGGCTACATAAACAGTGCCTGCGGCTCGAGGGGCACTCGCAGGCTCCCCACATGCCAAACAAAGGAAGACTAATTTTCTTCCTGTAGAAACAGGAGTGCTGGGGCATAGAGTCCCTGGATACTATGAGCTACTTATAGCTATACTGCATTAAGGAGGTTTCTGCTATTTAGGAATGAAGAGTAAGGAGTGGGTAGGATCCTGTACTCCTGGATCACACATTATCACTCAAAAACACTGCAGAGAAGTATGAAAGAAAGCGATGCTGACTGCTGAAGTGCAGAGGGCAGGGGTTTAGATAGACAAAGATCTACGTAAGGCTGCTTTGGGGTAAAAGTTTGAAGCATGCATCATTGCCAAAATCTCGCTTTTGATCTGCGAAGAAGAGAAACAATAGTACTGACAATGAAAAAAGCATAATGTGAATCTTTATTAAGGCAGTGTGTCGACAATGTAAGGATCGACTTTCTAACTTCATCATGCCAGCCACACTTTATGAAGCAAATGAATGCAAAGGTAACATATGAGAGGTGGTTACGGCAATCTGCCTATCAAGGCAACCAGTGTATTTGATTTACATATGTCTGTTATCTACTAAATATGTCAAGCAATTAAACGCCTGGTTTTTTTACTGCTCAGGTGAATTCAATGTTTTTACCCTCTCTCTTTTGAATCTTTGTTGCTTGATCTCCACTGAACTGTGATACTTCATCTTGCATTAGATTGTAATACCACAACTGTGTTCACCCATGCAGTAGAAGAGCTCCCATAGGACCCTAGTGGGATACAGGCAGTGGTAAGTGATGAGGCAGGAGTGGGTTTCAGTCAACTGGCATTTATGTGTCCTGTATATTTTATGTCTCCAAATTCAAGTAGCAATCACTTTTAAAAAATTAGTGCAATGGCTTTAATTAGAGGAGTACAGCAATAAAGAACATATAATTAAAAAAAAAAAATCATGTGGTCGATGCAGTGAGTAGTGTCTTTGTCATAAGTCACAGCGAGTACACTCTACTCTTGGACTAGGTTCAATCATCTGTCAGCTTCAAGGGCAATCACTTCTAATTAGCAAGTCTTTTGAACTCTTCCAGGGAACGTGGCCCAGACCTCTAAGGTAATATAACAATAGTCAGACATGCAGCTCTTAAGGTTGTCTGTCCTTTATGTTGACATCTTCCAAAATGCAAGGCAGAAAGAAACTTCCATCCGGAAAATTAAACCAGTAGTACTGTAGTTGCATTTTTGTGGTATGTGTCCCCCCCTCGCAGCCATCTAAGTATTTCTCACTAGAGAACCACCTTCCACGATGGTGATGATTTTGCATGTGTATCCATACACAGAGAAGAAGAAAGGCTACTATGGCTGTGCAAAGAGACCATCCTCTTCCTGTACTTTAATGAACAGCATTAGGACTTGATAGTAAAAGTACTGGTTTGAGTTGGGCTAAATCTGGCTGCCCTTGTGGCAGCTGGTGGCATCCATAAAAACCTTGAGTTAGAGTCAGGTGGCAACAACAGGGTGTTTGGAACAGAGGGAACAGTATATTTGGGGCTGAAAGAGGGTTGGAAGAATAAGCAAAGCCATGGCCTTACATCTGAGGTTAGATTTTTTCTGATTTGTGGTGTATTCAGGACCAAGGTAGGAGAAACTCTTTTAATATAGACAAACATGGTTTCTTTGAAGAAACAAGGAACTCCACCACCAGTTTCTCCTTCTAACTGTAAGAAGGTGCAGTATACTGATAACCTCGCTAAACCCAAAGGGATGATATCATTACTGCTCTTTGATATGCAGATATGGGGAGTTGCTATTCTTATCCTGCTGGTTTTGCATTTAGCTTATGAAAAACACAAACAGGTTTTCCGTGTTCTCCCTGTGCTGGTCCCTCTCGCTGCCTTGGGTTACACAACTGCGGCGGCCAAGATGATGGGCCGTGGTCGTCGGGAGAGGCAGGTCCCACTGCCAGCCACGGGCGCACTGCCACCCACGTGAGGGACTCGCCGGGTGGTTGGCTCCTGCCCTGGGGCATCACACACCACACAAGCCCGGTTCGTTCAAAGCACAATATGTAAAATATTCCAGACGTCTTTTAATCCAAGCCATAATTGATAGCTGGCTTTTGCAAAGGGCAATTTCGCAGGCGTCAAGAGTTTAATCACGGCCGCACAGATGAGCATCCCTTGAGTCACGTCAACCCCAGTGTCACAGATGAGCATCCCTTGAGTCATGTCGACCCAGCCACCTGCCCCCACTTCACCAGGAGTAGAAAAAGCAAACAAACCCAAAACACCATCCTAGAAAAAGACAGGCCCTTACAAATAAATAAATAAATAAATACATAAATAAGCACCCGCCTCCCTGTGGTGATCAATCCCTTGAGAATCCCAAACAGCGCTGAGCCTAGGCGGGACTCGAACCCGCGAATCAGGAACACGTGGATACCCCCCCCACACACCTTTCCGGGGTGGCCATGTGACGCATGCGCACAGCCGCCGGCCAGCCGCGGGGGCGGGAAGCTGGCGGCAGCGCGCTTGCGCAGTAGCGGCCGGCGGCCGGGAGCGGGAGCTGCGGCCCCCTCCCCCTGCCGCGCTATGGGTGACGCTCTGCGGAGGGCGGAGTCGGGCACTCAGGTGAGGCGCTGCTCCCCCCCCCCCGGGTCCCTTTCAGCCGCCGCCTGGCCGTGGTGGCCGGGGAGAATGAGGCGAGGCGAGGCTGCAGCTCCGAGGGAAGCGAAACGCCCGGCGTTCCCCTGCGCCCCGCCCGGTTCCATCTTCGGGGCGGGCGGAGGGGAGCGCCCGGCGACCGCGGAGCCTCTCGGAGGGGGCGGTGTGTGAGGGAAAAGGGGGGAGGGGGAGCCGCGCCGCAGAGCCGCGCCCGCCCGCCTCCGCCGCCCTTCCCCCGCCTTCCCTGGGTGAGGGGGGAGCGGGCACCCCTGGCCCTGTGCCTCAGGCTGAGGGGGGCGACGGGAGGCGCTCGGGGGGGGGGGGGGGGGTTCAGTCGCCCCTGAAACCCTTGGGTGTAGCGGGAGGGGTTCCAGCGGGCGGCTGGCGGGCCGGCTGAGGCAGCGGCTTCAGCCGGGGTGAGGGCGGTGCGGGGCTCTGTCCTGCCTTTGTGTCCCCGGGCTGGGGCTCCGGGGCTCCGGTTGGATGGCTGCTAATGGCGCTCCCTTGCAGCACGGGGGGAGGTTGCTCAGGTGTTTCAGTAATTCCTGTATAAATATTTTCTTCGCGCTCCCCCTCCCAAACGTTGGAGTGGATGTGGTGAGGAAGAAGAGCTGTGAGGAAGGTTTTGTTTAAATAAAGCAGTATGGAAGGTGGAATGGCTTTTCTGTTCTTGGGAGAAAAGGGGTTTGAGTGTCGGGGTTTGGCTGTGGGGATTTTTTTGTTTGCTTCTGTAGTTTGGTTTTGTTTTTTTTTCCTGTCCAGGATGGTACGTTTGTTACTTTGCTTGCAATCAGCAAGTTAATTACTGGGAGATTTGTGTCTTACTATATCAGAATATGCTGAATAGTGCACATAAAAGCATAGAAATGTGTGATAATTATTATTTATTTCCTAGTTATGTGCCATGTTTTTTCAGTGGGACTTGAATTCTTAAGACCTTTTGATACTTAAAAAAACAATAACAGCTGTTCACTGTCAGCAAATACACACAAATTAAGGACATGATTTGTGCTCTGTGTCCAGGTGGGTAAATGCATTTATTTGTTCACATGAGCAGTGCCAACAGGGAATGCACGTGGCAGCAACTGCCTGTGATGGAATGGATGACCACACCTGAACGAGGGAGGAATGGATAACCAATGGGTTAAGAAAGGTTAACATACACGAGTTCATTGTCCAGAAAAAATGGTAAAAGCCCTTGAAACAGAAAATGTTAATTAAAAACAGTACTTCATTTAAAACAATACTTCCTCAAATAGCCTCTTGTAAGATCAGCTTTTACTGAGAGTTATACTGAGACCGCAGTCTTGTACTCTTATTATTGAATATAATTAATACAACAAATTAGAACTTTTCGCAAACACCTTTCGGTATATCACAATAAAATAAATGATAAATTGCTTGCATACGTCTTTATGCCCAAAGTTTACAAAAGCTCAGTCAGAGCGGTTATAGTGGTTGAAAATTCAATTTTGTATCATACTTGAGATGATAGGTTTGTATGTGTAAATAGCCTGTAGGTTAGCTCACAGCCTCTAACAGAGCTGGAGTACTTAATTTGAATTTCTTTAACATTTTAATGAAGTAATACCTCATTCCTGACAAGACCTACATGTATGCTTACATTTATGCATAGCTTCATTGAAAGCAATATAGTATAAACATATGTATTATTGGGACTGTACATATGCATGTTTCTTAGATGAAATTGTTAAGTTATGAAAGACATAGTTGAAATATGAGTCCCATCAGCCTTGTCATTAATGAAATTTAACCCAACTGTTGCCTAACTTCTGCTGTGTAGCTTGTTTTCTATATGTAACTCTGCATATGTGCAGTTTCTTGCTAGCTTTAGAAGAACACCTGAGAGCAAAGACCTACCATTACTATGTCAGTAAAAGGTAGTATTTTGTGGAAGAGAAGATAAAAAGAGCATTATGAAAGAAGAAATGAGAATCTACAGTTAAATTCTAGAACCTGTAGTCTCATACATGATTTGAAATTGTTCTGGGGTTTTTTTCCCAAACTCTTCCACTCAAAGGCTCTCCTCAGCAGTACTGTGCTGCTGAGTTCTGTGTGCTGTCGGTGACGAAGCCTGGGACGCCAGATGTCCACTATCCAGATCACCCTTTAAATGCTGTAATTCCCCTCACCCCGCCCCATTTTACAGAAGAAAATGTGAGAAGGCAAAATGGAAATGCTTCCCCTGGAACAGAGCCAAGGTGGCTTTTGCCAGCTTGGGAAAACCCGCGTTGTCCCTGTCTTTTAATATCAGCAGAGGTGAGGGCTGCCTGTCTAGTGTGTCAGCTTTGCTTCCGTCACTTCTGCAGCAGTGTGGACAAACCTCTGAGATTTGAAGGAAAATTGTTAGCTGTTTCTGCCAGGAACCCTGCTGTTCCCTGCGTGACACTAATGAGGCAAGTGCCTTTGGAGAATCTGCTTCAGAACTCGGAAGTAAATACAAGTTTGATAAAAACACAGGTGTGCTATCATCAGTGAATCATAATAAATTACCTACATGAGCAATGCTCAGAGTAAGCACCTGTAGTTATTTAAAGCGAATATATAAACTTGTCATTTAAATAACCACAGATTCATATTTAAACGATAGTGATCAATCTACTGTGTATTTCCAAAGCTCTAGTAGTGAACTTAGAGCTGATTGTCAAAGAAGAGATGGGAGCTTATTGTTTCCAGAAGAAATAAACTGTAGAGGGTGTATTCATTAATGTACAAATAAATTTGGGAGCAGGAGGCTGCTGAAATGTGTTTAGACAAGCAATAGTTGTGACTTGTGGCCCCAGCAGCACCCATAATCGAGCCCCTGTGACCGCTGAGTGCTGGAGCTGTGCTTCCTATACTAAGAAATGAAGAGCATCAGAAAGCAGCAGCCTGTAGTGGTTTTCCTGTTTCTCTCAACTTCCACTGCCAGGCGAAGGGGTGAGAGATTCCCAGTCCTTCTCCACGGCAGCGACCGGGCTGCAAGCTCAGGGTCTGCGAGGGCTCTCTTGGTAGTTGCAAACTCCTGGTTTATATACCCTGAGATACATTTGTGTATTTTTGTGTATGTATGTCCTTCTAGTTTTTTGCTTTGTCCAGGTTACAGAGCACTGATGGTTCCCAAAATATTGAAGAGTTCACCATGTGAGTGTTTTCTGCACTGTACGAATGGGTGGAATGTAACAGGAGGATCTGCAGATCCAGAGCGAGGTCGATTCAGTTGTTTTTATGGCCATTCAGTGGAAGTGTCAGAAACCTCTCCTGAACACATGTGAACAGGCAAAGGCAAACACATTGACATTTTGTTAATGGAAGGGAATGTTAAAATGTCAATGAAAATGTCACACTTAGATTCTCATTGTGACCACTTGAAGTAAATTCATGGCCATTTAATGGAGTTTTATTCTACTATTAAAGACAAACACGCACGCACAGCTGTTTAAACAACTTTTAAGACAATTCAAAGCAAATGTTGCTCATTGATGGGGTAGGGAGGAAAGCAAGATAAGGCAGTGTGTGTTTAAAGGTGTGTGCTGACTGCTTGTTTGGTGACTGGCTTTGAGGAGGATAGGATGAAACTGAACAGGATTTTTGTTTAAATCTTCAAATGACAGCTAGGTGTCTTGGAGATTGAAATATTTGGCGCACGGGTACGTGCTCTGGCAATGCTCTGAGCATCCTGATAGTGTCCTATCCCATATGTGTGAATACATAAAGGGAATAACAGCTCTAGCACTGGGTGAAATGTTCGCTCTTGGTTTATGAATGTATGCCAGAACGACATATAACAGAAGATATGTGAATACCTGTCAATTTAAGAAATTGCCCATGAACTTTGGACTAATTTGTTTTACAATAGACTTGCGTTACAAGGGGCTTTGGAGGAACTTGCTTTACAAATTTGAGCTTGCCTTAGAAAGGTTCTTGCAGAGCCAGTGGTGGCTAATTACTTTTGATCATTCTTAATCCATACTCTGTTTGAACAAGTAACTATAATATAATGGGATTGTAGTCCGGAAGAGTCCTGTATGACGTCCCAGATTAAATGTACATACTTTTACTTACAAATGCTCAGAGGGACTGGCTCAAGAGGCTAATGATGTCTGATGTTTCATCTCTCAACGAGTAGTTTGTTGTGGAGGTGATGGTTATTACAAGTGATCATCTTTCCTTTTTTTCTGTCCAATGGCAGCACTGCTGTATACCTGAGGCAATCCTTCTTGCTAGTCTACCTGCACAGGTTTGTTTTTTTTTTTTTTTGTTTTTTTTTTTTTAAGCTTTGTTTCCCCTAATATCTATCCACTTCTTACTGTCATTGAATGTATTCTCATTGTTTGTAAAGATGGAACCTTCTGTTGCTGTAGTCTAGACTATAGGTTTTCATATGTATTTATGCAAACATTTTTTAAATCAGACTAATCTTTTGATAGGGCTGTCGTGGAAAACTCCCAGTTCTCAGAACCCTTTAAATTTGATTCCCAAGGACCATTATTTTGAGCTAACAGCATGTCTCTTCCGTCTTTTCTCTAAAAGCTACTCGCACGACTTGAGGGCAGAAGTTCTCTGAAGAATATTGAACCTTATCTGTTTGCTGAGGAGGGATCTCCTGTTCATGGTAAAAATGTATCTTTATCCCATTTATGGAAAAATGTTGATGTAAAAGTATTCTAAGAGCAATATGACAGAGATAAGTGTACAAGTAGATCTTTTTGCCCTAGATTCAGAATTTTAATTGTTGATGTAGTTTTATACAAACTACATAAAATGAAATAATGCAAATTAACCATTGTGAACATTATTAAATGGACTTTAAAATCTGCTTTATAGGTATCAAAACACAGGTGTATGTGAGTAAATACCAAGCACGTTGGTCTATTTCTAGTAGTTTACAGAAATTTGTTCTAGATTCTGTCATTTAACCTTTTTTTAAATCACTGGTCTAAAAAAACACCACAGAGTCATAACTGCTGAAATTTCAAAGAACTTGAGGTTCAATAAATACCAAAGAGTTCAGTGATAAAGAATCACAGAATGGTTTGGGTTGGCAGGGACCTTAAAGATCATCTAGTCACAACCCCCCCGCCATGGGCCGGGACACCTTCCCCCAGCCCAGGTTGCTCAAAGCCCCGTCCAGCCTGGCCTTGAACCCTTCCAGGGAGGGGGCAGCCACAGCTGCTCTGGGCAACCTGTGCCAGTGCCTCACCGCCCTCACAGGAAAGAATTGCTTCCTTATGTCTAATCTAAATCTACCCTCTCTCAGTTTAAAACTGTAACCCCTTGTCCTATCCCTACATCCTCTGGTAAAGAGTCCCTCCCCACCTTCCATGTACCCCCTTTAAGCACTGGGAGTCTGCTCTAAGGTCTCCCCAGAGCCTTCTCTTCTCCAGGCTGAACGACCCCAACTCTCTCAGCCTGGCCTCACAGGGGAGCTGCTCCAGCCCCCTGATCATCATCATGGCCTCCTCTGGACCCACCTGAATAGGTCCATGTCCTTGTGTTGGAGGCCCCAGAGCTGGACACAGCACTGCAGGGGGAGTCTCATGAGAGTGAAGCAGAAGAGGAGAATCCCCTCCCTTGACCTGCTGCCCACACTTCTCTTGATGCAGCCCGGGACATGGTTGGTTTTCTGGGCTGTGAGCACACATTGCTGGCTCACAGTCAGTTTTCCATCCACTACTATTCCCAAGTCCCTCTCTGCAGGGCTGCTCTCAATCCACCCTTTGCCCAGCCTGTATTTGTGCTTGGGATTGTCCCAACCCATGTGCAGGACCTTGCCCTTGGCCTTATTGAACTTCATGTTGTTTGCATGGGCCCATGTCTCCAGCCTGTCCAGGTCCCTCTGGATGGCATCCCTTCCCTCCAGTGTGTCAACCACACCACACAGTGGCGTTGGCAAACTTGCTGAGAGTGTGTTCAATCTCACTGTCTGTGTTGCTGACAACAATGCCAGCCCCAACACCGACCCCTGAGGAACACCACTAGTCAGTGCTCTGCACTTGGACATTGAGCCGTTGATCAGAACTCCTTGAGTGCCACAATCCAGCTGATTCCGTATCCACCAAGTGATCCATCTGTCAAGAACCCTTGTCTCTCCAATTTAGAGACAAGAATGTAGTGTGGGACAGCGTCGAATATTTTGTACAAGTCCAGGTAGATGACACCGGTTGCTCTTTCCTTATCCACCAGTACTGTAACCACATTGTAGAAGCTGAACAAATTTGTCAGGCACAGTTTGCCCTTAGTGAAGCCACGTTGGCTGTCACCAATCAGCTCCTTATTTTCCATGTGCCCTAGCATAGTTTCCAAGCATGATCTCAATGGTCTTGCTGGGCACAGAGGTGAGACTGACTCACCTGTAGTTCCTTGAGTGGTCATTTGTTTCCCTTTTTAAAAATAAGGGTTATGTTGCCCCTTTTGCAGTCAGTGGCACACTAGACTGCCACTGACTTCTCAAATATGATGGATAGTGGCTTAGCTACTTCATCTGCCAGTTCCCCCAGGACCCGCGAATGCATCCCATCAGCTCCCATGGTCTTGTGCACCTTCAGGTTCCTTAGATGGTCTCAAACCTGATATGGAGTAGTCTGGATCAGTTAGGAAAAGGGGCATGAGCAAACAGTCTTCACTGATAAAGCCAAGTCATCAAGCCATTCAGTCTTGGCCTGAAAAATCCTGCTGGCGCTTTGGAAACAATTCCATTATGAACGTAGGTATTAATCAGCTGAATAAGTTTGAGGATGATTCTAGGGTCAAAATGGCTTATATAGACCTTCAATGAATAGATGTGCATTTCAAACTGGAGAAATTGGGCTGTCTTCCAGTGATGCTACAAGTTTAAGGTAGGTTCTTCTAGCATGTTTTAAGATCAAGATTGAATGTTTTAATGAAAGAAATTACTGAGCTAAACAGAAATTAGCACACTTAGTAATTTCTTGATTATTCAGGAAGTCAGACTGGTTTTCCAAATGGAGTGAAATTTCATGATTTCAGAATGGAAGAGACTAATTACACAAAACTAGAAATATATTGTAAAAAAGGCATGTGAGTAGCAAACTGTAAGGATCATGCTGTGAGGTACTACAGTTGTTGAATGTATGTATGAATGAATGGGTTTCATATGAAAAGTATGTGGCTGCAGTGGTTATCAACATACTTGTCTGCAATTTGAATTCCCACAAATTACAGAAGGTTCAGAAGAAATAACAAAAAAAAGCAATAAAAATAATCAGGATAATTGGATAAGAGATGATGCCTAGACTACAAATGCAGTCACTGTGAGACTATTCGTGTATTATTTTGCAGCACTTGAGAATACATTATGGGTTTAGCAATATATGATTCCTGCCCCTGAAAGTTTCAAATATGATATAACAAAGATCAAGGGCAGAGAAGTACTGGTAAGCCAGTGCAAATGGAGCAGAGAAGATGATTTAAATACTCTCAATTCTGAACTGCTTTGTTACCCACAAGAAGAATTAAGAACCAGTAGTGAAATTGGTATATGCTTCACAAGGCTCTTGAATTCTTAACAGTGTTTTTAAAAGATGAGATATTTTTGTTTTGAAAAAATGCAGTAATAGAAGATGCTGATCTTTCAGTCTCTTTTTAATGAACTTTACGCCCAAGAAACAAATGTTTGAGACTAAATTGGCCATGTTATGGTAGACCATAAGAAGCCTTCCTGGGGGCCAGTAATTGCCCTTCCTGTCACAGTCCACAGCGTTACGTAATTCCATCGTCAAATTATCAGCGTTGATCTTAAAGCTGTGTACATTGTTCATGTCTGTCCAAAGACTGTTCCAGAACCTTAGTTCTAAGATGGCTGGAAACCTAAATTCGTCACTGGTTTCTCTGTGCCAGCGCGGTCATTGAGCTTCTGAAGCACTTCTATTTTTCTTCTGCTTTTAACAAATGGCATCCATTATTATTCGTATTGTTTGTGCTTTTTGGCTGACATGAATGAAGCTACCTAACGTATTAGCACAGCTCTTTAGCTATATATACATAAACAGACTTACCTTTTAATACATTTTGGCTTTGTCTTTTAATACCATAGCATTTATGTGAGTCCATGTGTTATTTTGATGTGTGTTCTTGTTATTTAGTCTTAAATCCCTGTTGAAGACCTACCTCTCCATTTGTCATGGACTTGACTTTTAGTAGGTCACTGTGGAATACTGTAATACATTGCCCATGAAGTCTGTACTGAACAGCTCTTAATCTGAAATGCTATGATTAAAGCAATGCAAAGACCTAAATTATTCTTTTTCCTGATGGTATTTGAAACAAACAAACAAACATATATATGAAGTTTTAATAACCTATCCAAAGGCTATGTCATAGGAAAGTTTTCATAATATGTATGTCAGAGTACTGTAAAATAGGAACAGCTAATATAGGTAGTGCTGTGATATTCTAGTCACTGCTTCTAGTTAGGATGGACTTGCATATTTACGAACACGTAAGCATATTAATTACATACCATTTAAGCTCTTCTAGAATGGAGCAGAAGTGACATGAGCTTTAAATAGTCTTCCACTATTGCCAGTCATATTTCTCTTATGCCGCTGGTATGAAGATGTGGGTGTCAGTATAAAATTCTGATGTTCAGCAATAGCATGACACCCTACATTAACTTGGAATAAATATTAGGCCTTTCTACTTCACTTATAAATGGTACAAATATTAGTGACAGCTGCTGCACAGTATTGTAAATTACTAGTCCAGTAACTTCAAGGTATGTGATGATGTGAAACCTGCAGAGTTATTGCTGAGTTATTCTAGCAGCCTGTTTGTAACTGCAGTGTCAGAAACCAGTTTAACCAACATTTGCTAGTGTAATGATTATGGACAAAACTTGAGGCTCTTCTCGTTCAAAAGATAATACTGCACTGATGACCAGGACTGAGTACAATGTTTCAGTTAAAAATGTATTAGTGTTACATAAATATTTATGTTTATGCAACATCATTTAGTTTATCCTGTATGCTACTCCATAGCAGTGGACTACTGTACCCTTTTGTCTGCCCGTAGTGGGCCAGTTCAAGCTACTGGTGAGCCAAGCAGTGTGTTGGGTGACTCCTTAAAATGTTCTTCCTGAAATTGTCAGTGCTGAATTTCATATGAAGTCATTTTGCTCATGCATTTTGATCTGTTAAATCTTCATAATCTTAAGTCTTTATTAACCCAGTTAGTTTGTTTTCTAGACATTTTGCCAAGCTAGTGGAACATTCATCTACTGATATGTTTAACACTGGGCAACACCAGTTCTAATAGGAAAATTTCCCATTAGCTTTCTTCCACATTAAAGTGTCAGTTCCTGCTCTGCCTCTCAGACTGTTTTCATTTTCTGACAGTATCTTTTTACTAATCCTCCTTTCAAAGTTATTTTGACATTAATGGATGATGCCAGTACTGATCACTAAGTTTCTTCCGTGACCTATTGTGAGGGTGTCAAAGGCTTCTTGAAAATCTTGCTGGCCACACTTCCTCCTCTGCTGTGTCATGGTTTGTCCTCTCTGATCCAGAAGGATGAATTTCCCTTCTTATCTTACTGTAACAGCCTGGTTGCTAATTTAATGAAACCCTACATTTACAGCTGTTGCTATAAAGGGCTTCTGTTTTGCACCCGTTCTTCTTGTGGGCAGCCTCTTTGATAATCATGAAGGCACAGAAATCCACGATTCTCGTGAGGTTTTCTTACAGTCCAAGCTGTTTCTCTTTTCAGAATAACTTTAAGTGTTTTGGTCAAACTACAGTCCAGATGTGTATCTTGTTCAGCAATGTGGAACAAGCTTTGAAGGGCGCTTAGCAGTTTTGCTGTTAAAATTTATAAAACACCACCACAAAAACTCCTAAGGATGATTTTTCATTCAATTTAGAATTTTTACTTAAATAAATGTGTTAGTTCTGCCAATAAAAGCTCATCCAATGTTATTCTCTACCACACAAGCGTCCTGATAGAATGTCTTCAAATGGATAAAGTCAAGCATTTATTTCACAGAATAACTTTTTCGAATCATTACCAAACAGTAACTCAGATTTGTCCACTGCTGACTTCTGAGTGGCCAAATGGAGTTGCCAGTTTTTCTTAAACAAGTCACATTTGGCTGTAAAGGTAGATGAAGCAATCTGTATTGCATGTGGCCCAATTCAGTTACTGGTCTGGATTCAGAAATGCCAGTTAGGGTGGCAGAAGTCTTGTGCCGAAGCCAGTGGCAGACAGACGATACATTTTGTTCATTAATAAGAGGTGACTTATGCAATTGTTCTAAAATACTTCATTAGATGAAATGTGACCTACCCATCCTGTTTTAGAGGAGTTTTTCCAAGCTGGTATCTTATCCTAACAGGGTACAGTTACGTCACTGGCACAGTGTGTGACAGCAGAGCAGTTCCTGGCTGCATGTGGCACAGGTGGACATTGAGACCTCTGAACAGGAAGAAAAAATGATGATTTATGTCAAAGGAAGTATAGTTGTCTTTCATCTCAAAAGTGGGGAAAACCATTCAGAACAAATAAGTAAGGGTATGGGAGGCAATCAAGCTCCTCAATAAATTTCAAAGTACCAGAAATTCATAAAAGCAGAATTGCACTTGTGGAGCAGCAGGAATTTTATTATGGAGAGGCTGGCAGTCTGAGTGTCACTGAGATGGATAGAATTGTCACATTAGGTGTAAATTGCTTTCAACGCTTGCAGTGGGTGAAGTAAGAGCTTAGTTTCTTCCCCACCACCCTCTGCCCCTCATCCCAAGCTGCGTTTTGACATTACACACACTTATGAACAAGGACATCCTCTGGAAGTTGAGTAATGGCTTGGAAAACCCTGTTAACTCAGGCAGGCACAAACATGTTTAAGTCAAGTTACAATTAATTCTCTACTCTTGCATCCCCCTTATGAAAAGCTGCTATGCCATTTGCACTTGCCAAGGCCATAGAAATCTCTCACCTCCCTGCAGCTACAGTTGTGTGATTCTCCTTGCATGCCTTTACCCTTCTGCCTAAAACCCAAAATGTAATAAATAAATAATCGAATTTCAGAAGAGCAACTGGTAAATTTTTTTAGAGTCTTGCTCTAAGACATCAGAAGACTTTGGAAAAGACTTGAGAGTACCTTGCATTCACATTCAACTGAAGAACTGGTTTCCTAGTAAAGTTCCTGCTTTTTGTAATTAACATTTTAAATTTCTGTGATATGTATTTTACTGACCCCCATGTATCAGGCCCTTAGGCTGAGTCCATTTGTGAATGGAGATCCATGCATGGAGTTGAAGGAATCTCTGAGTCCCACTTGTCAAAAGAAGCAGTTTCATATGATGATCACCACTAGAAGAATATAAGTGCTAAACAAATGTACTGGCGTTCTCTTTACTCGTCACAGATTCCTGTTGGTATCTTGTGACGTGCAGATACTGAACAAGCATACAGCAGACATGAAATGCTGAAGGACAGTCTGTGCTATAAAAACAGATGTGCCAACATGATTTGGGCCTCTAAGTCGTCAACTTCTTTTGTTGATTTGCTTGTCTTCTACTTTTTCATTTCTTTCTTAATTTTGTGTGCATAGTGTAAATAGATGGTTTCTTAGCCACTTTTATGTAGTGGCTTTCTTTTCAGCCTTCATCTACCGTTAATGGTATAGATGAAATCCAGTTGACAGCCTTTTATTGATATTGGTATTCTAGATGCTATTGGCAGGGTTTTTTTCAACCTTTGTTCCCAGTTGGTTTTCTTCACTTTAGAGGTCTTTCTTGAAAATTTAAATTTCTCTTGGTAGATGCTGACCAGGATTTAAACATTTTGATGAATATCAAACTTCCTAAAATGCATTTCCTAATTAGTGGAACAGTGAGTATTGGTTCAGTAAGCACTGAAAACTGACTGAGCTATAAATGCTCTTACCTGACAACTCGCTGCTTTGTTTTTAAACAGGAGATGTCATTGAATTCCATGGTCCAGAAGGAACAGGAAAAACAGAAATGCTTTATCACCTAATAGCCCGCTGCATCATTCCAAAATCAGGAGGAGGACTGGAAGTAGAAGTCATGTTCATTGATACAGACTACCATTTTGATATGCTTCGTCTAGTTACCATTCTTGAGAAGAGATCGGCGCAAAGGACAGAAGAAATGATAAAGCAATGCCTGGGAAGGCTTTTTCTTGTGAACTGCAATAGTAGCACTCAGTTACTGCTCACTCTCTACTCTTTAGAAACCATGTTTTGCGCTCACCCCTCTCTCTGTGTTTTGATTTTAGATAGCATGTCAGCTTTTTATTGGATAGACAGAAGCAATGGAGGGGAGAGCCTTAACTTGCAGGAGATGAATCTGAAGAAATGTGCTAACTTTCTTGAAAAGCTTGTGAGAGAGCATCACTTAGCCCTCTTTGCAACAACACAGACACTTATGCAGAAATCTGCAAGCTCTGCAGAAAGTTTTTTTCCTTTAAAATTTCAGCATGAAACTGATACAGACTATAGACCTTATCTTTGTAAATCATGGCAACAAATGGTAACCCACAGGATATTTTTCTCAAAGCAATGTAATTCTGGCAACAGCAAAAGTTTTACAGTCATTTCTTGCCACCTCAAAAGAAACCATGTAGTAAAACGTTCATTTAGTATTGCAGAATGTGGAGTTCAGTTTTAATTTCAGTTTGTTTTTTAAACGTGTAGCAAATCCTGGTGCTTAAGGCCTGATTAGGTCTAAGTAGTTTTTAGTACCTTTTAAACTAGTTGGTTGTTGCTGGGTGAATAAGAATTTTTGTCACAATTTTCTTAAAATTTAGTGAAGGGCAGAAAATGGTGAAATTTTTGAATTACTGTAGACATTCAGTCCAAACTAGCCAGGAATGTTGAAATTACATGTTTGCGCTTAATGCATAAAGAGATTAAATCAAGAAAATTATAACCAAAGACATTTCAAACTTGTAGTATCCTTCAGTAATCTAACCTACATGACATGCAGCCAAATGCACTGACTTCATTTCTGGGCCTTACTGCTTTCCACTCCTCCTCTTCCAGGCTACAGAAACAGGAGCCTGGCTGTCCGTGGGGGAGACTGCAAAAAGGCAAGTGTTTGCTCTTAATAGATATTGGTCTTGGTTTATTCCCAGTAGCCTAGGGCATATGAAATGCATTCACAACTTCGCCTGAAGAGAAGGATTCATTCTCACAGCCTGTTAAATAGTGGTAATCCTGACCATGCTTCTCCAAGCTCGCAGCCTCTCTGTTTACATTAGCATGTGCCTGGGGAAACAAGGATTGCAGGTGTCTCGACCCTTACCAGCATCTGGGTTTGAAGAATCTCCAGCTATTGCAGAAATGGAGGCCTGATTTCCATAACTGAAGGAAAAGTAAAAACCCAGCTCTGGGTACCTCCGAGTTTCTGCTGCATGCAGCAAACAGTCTTTGAAAATAATGAAGTGTGGGTTATGGGTTGTTTAGGGTTAGGGTGTGGGGGGTTGTTTTCTGTTGTTTTTTTGTTTTATTTTTTTTTAGATGTATGCACAGACAGTTTTTTTTTTTTTTTCCTCTGCCCTCCTTCATTATTCCCTCCCACTTCTTTCCCTTCCCCCACTCTCTCTAAGAAATCCAGGAATGCCATGCCTCTGGTCTTTACCAATATGTATTTGCCACATGTAGAACATTTGTGTGCAGGATTTGGCATGCAACATGTTGTAATTCTGGCAAAGAAGATTCAGAACTTATGGGAAATGCCCTACAGTTCTGGCAAAGAATACCATATTATTTATTAACCTAGAGTGCCCTTTGAAAGCTTCAAAGTGCTTTACAAGAAAGAAAACTCCACATAGTACATTATTTAATACAAAAACTTACATTAGCTTACAAATTTAAATTACTCAAACAAGGGGAAAATATTTCTCACAGCAATATTCGTTCAGTCATGTTGCACAGCACGTATTATAGTTTAGATCGAACAGATTATTAACAAAAATGCATATTAAGAAGAAGTATCTAGCATAGTATCTTTTTGAGGAAGATGCTTAAAAAACTCTTGAGACACCTACCTTTTAATTCCCTGACTTCTGAAGCCAGCTTTTTCAAGCTGAATGTATATCTGGATCCCCTAGATCCCCCTTGAACTAATCAAGCAGTTCAGCTTGAATACCCAGACTTGTCTATATAGAGTGGGGAGCATGGATCTATACTGTTGTTTATAGAATTCAGCTGGGGTTTTGCAAAGACAATGAGTGTCCTGCCTTTAACCACAGCCAGTACCAAAGGTTTTGGGAGGAGTGTGAGAATAACCCGTTTTCACTGGCACGGCCTCCTCAGCTTGGGCCTTGGGGAGCTGCTGGCCAGAGCGTGTGGTCGGACCCGTGTTTGATGGACACTGATCAAGCCTGTCCTCCATGAATTCATCCAATCCATTTTTAACTTACCCTCTGGGGTTCCATCATATTTTTTCACAATGAGTTCAGTTTAATTATTTGTTCTGTGGGAAAACTTCCTCTTTTTTACCCCTCTTATTTTAAACCTTCCATCTGGGCACTTCTTCACACCACCAGGTCTTTTACTGTGACACATGAGAGAACTTTGCCTTTTTGATGTCTCTGCAGAGGTGATGATCTTACAGACTGTCGTTTAATTTGTGCTTTCTCTTCCATCAACAGCAATATTTATTTTATTTCAGAACTTGCATAAGTACACAAATACATGAAAAACATACAACTTAATCATTCAGCCTAGACCAGACCCAAGTTAGATGGCTTAATATGAGTAGACACTCCCACTGGGAATTATTACAAAGGGCATACTTTAATTTTTATTAAAAAAAATGGGAAGATTCAGATGGAATGATAGAACTTGTAAATGTGAAAATTATAGAACTACATAATTTCTACTACAAAGAAAACAACAGTCCCCCTTTTCTGTTGGAGCATATAGCTCCACTGAAGATTAACTGCTTCATAAAATCATACTTACTAAAAAATACGTTTGAGAAAAAAAAACAATGGAAACGTTCCAGCATTCCCGTCTGGAAAAAAAGCTTTTATATTATTCGCAATGTAGTTTATATTTTCTATTGTACTATAAAAGAAATGCCAAAATTGAAATGAAGCCAAAGTTCTAATTGATCAAAAAGAGCACCTCAGGAAATTTTGAAATTTCCCAGTTTTATTTTTACTTTGAATGCAGACAGATTTTTTTAATTCTCTCGTAATTGTAATATTCATGTTCTGCATATTTGTTTTAGATGTATTGCAAGCCTAACTTTCAGAGATGCTGAGCATCTGCATATCTCTAAGTTTGCAGGAGGGATAGGCAGTATGCAAGCTGAGAGTGCACGGACCTTATCCTCTGCCAAAATTAGGCCATTTGGAAAAATTAACCTTTAGGATACAGGTCTAAGAAGGATGCAGTGATAAAGAACCTGGGAAGCAGCAATTTTGTTTGTACCTTAATGAACTGTGGGTATTAAAAATGGGTTTTACCATTTTTTTCCTGGAGAATTTTCTCCATTAAAGCGATGTAGAAATTGTAGTTAGTGCAGAATGCAGTTTCTCCTCACGAGCTAGGAACAGTATATTAAATGTAGCATCATATTTGGTGTGTAATATTAAATCCAAATTTTCTTTCACCTAGACCTAAGTTACCAGCCAGCCTCCAGCCCTCTGTCTCTCCTGGTGTGGGCTGTGCTGCCGCAGCCCAGGCCCCCAGGGAGGAAGCGCGTTTTGGGTTGGTAGGTCTGTGCCGCTGGAAACCAGCCCTGCAAAAGACAAGTGCCGCTGCACATCATTGAGGATAGAATGCATGTATTCCTAAACTCTCATTTATCCAGGTATTTCTTAGAAATGAAAATCCTTTCGTGTCGGTGTCATTGTTCTTCAGCTCGGTGTTGTATTCTTAAGGCTTTTGTAGGCATAGGAACTTTTTACATTCCTTAGAATTTTTGTTTGTTGCTTCATATGCAACATCAAATTAAAGCAGCAAGCTTGAAATAAAGAGGAACAAGTTCACCCTTTTTCCCCATCCTTTTTATAGCGAGAGAGCTTTTTAGCAAAACCAAATCAAAGTATTTTGCAGGTTTTATTTTTATTTTTAAATAAAGCAGTATGTCTATGAACACCTGGAGAGAAAATATTTTTATATTCAGCAGAATGTTTTTTGTGTTCCTAGACTTTTTTATAGAGAAATAAAATACAAATAACAGTTTGCTTGGTTTAAGTTTGTACTTGCACATTAAATTCAAGTTTCCTTTTTCTTACATAACTGATTCCAGCCACTTAATTTTCCGTATTGTTTGGAAATGGCAGAAGATAAAGGTTCTTCTGTGGAAACATACCTGCAATTGTATTTTTACTGGAGACTAATGGACAAAGGCTGAGGACAATACCGTTTCGATGGCTACTGGACATAAGTCTTGGACCATGTCCTGAAGAGTAACATGTCATTTTAGTTATTTGCTGTGGCAATAACTGTCTCTTGAACTTCTTTATTTAAATGTAGTTCTGATACGCAGCTATACCAGAGCAATGGGCAACGTCATTTTGCAATCAGCAAGCCTTACGCCAAGCTTAATACCCACCTCAGGAGAAAGCCATGCCATGCCACCAAGCTTGAACTTGTGTAGGAAGTCCTCACCTGTGTAAAAGCTGCTCACAGTTTTAACATGTCCAACAACTATACAGTAGCATGGGACTTGGTATTTTGTGAAGAAGGGGAAACACTGGAAGAGCTGCGAAGTTTTGGCTGTGAAAGAAACTTTCAGACTGGGAAAGGAGCATCAGTACAATGCATCTGCATGACCTTCTTGACACAAAATTCTGATGCCCTGCAGCAGTCTCTGAAATAAAAGGTCTGGCTAGCCCTGTGCCTGAAAGACGACAGCAGGATGGCACTGAGCTATGAATGGTGTGTAGCACGACAGAAGGGTTCTTGAACTGTTAACTAACACGTCTAGCATGGTAAAGCTTTCAGATATAAAGTTGACCATAGTTGACCTGCAGATTCTTCCCACCAAGGGATGAAACTGGTGATGGATTCCACTCTGTAGATGCTGTATAACTTATTTATAATGAAGATATAAAACTCTGCTTCTCTGGACCCAGGAGGAATTAAATGTAGAAACAGACTTCTCTTTTTTCTGTTTTTGGTTGGTTGGTTGGTTTTGTTTTTGTTTTCCCTGCAGCTCTAGGCATCTTCCCAGCAGTCAGCACTTAGCTCCAAAAGCACTCTCACAGCTTTCTGTCAGGACTGTGCTTTACTGGAAGTGGATAGTTTTCTCCTTTGCTGAGAGTTTATAACCCTTCCTACCAGTGCAGACTGGGATATCCGAATAGAAAAAATCGCACCCCTGTGACACATCAGGGCAACTGGTAAATAGCTTTGGAGACTTCCTTCTATTTGCGATCGGGAGTAATGTCACACTGGAGTAGATGATTTTGAAGAAACGTAGCTGTGACTTGCCTTGGGAAAAGTCTGGCAGTCTTCCCTCCGCTTTCCCGCACTGCATTGCATCCTGCCCCAGCCAACTGCCCGGTGTACCTGTGTGGGCCTCCGTGCTCAGGGATGGCAGCGACAAGATGTCACCGCCTTGCCACATGCTGGTGAAGAGCCACGTTCTGGATCTTGGCTCTCTCATACTGCAGGAGTTGGCACAACTGCTATAGTTTTTAGTTTAAACCATTTGCCAGGCTTCTTTCTCGTACATGTAGCTGGGCCTGTACTAAAGACCTCCTAGCCCTCCAGGGAGATGTAAGAGAGAAGAAATCTTGTGTTTTGAGTGTAAGATGGACAAGATTTTTAGGCTGTTGCTACAAAAAGAGGCCAGGCAAGGCCATGAGGTTCCTGGTGGTGGCAGATGGACATCAAGGCCTCGAAGGTGGTCTGGCGAAGGTCAAGGAGCAAACTCTTTGCCTCCCTTACCAACTGTCCATACTGTGAAGGGGCAAATAGGATTTTTGACTTACATTATCTGCATACTCCTCTACTTCATCATACTGCTGAGTGAGAAGACCACGCTATGGTGGGCAGTACTGCCTCTGAAGTGCATCTCAAAAGCTCTGCTCAAACTCCATTACTGACAGTTCTGTCTTCAGCCCAACTGCTCCATGGACTCTCAGCCTCCTCCTCCTCCATAATACAAACAGCAGTGCTGCAGAGATCAATAAACATCATCGCATTTGCCTTTACTGGACGCGAGTGATACTGTGGGTGTTGGTAGATTGGGCATTGTCATCTGGCGGGGCAAGCTTGAGCCACACTTTCCAACTGTAACAGTTTGCGTATCCAGTATGATGACACTGCTCAGTGAAAATGCAATAGCAAGTCCACAGCTTTTGAACAGCCAGACCTCCAACTGCAAACCCATCTTCCAGACTCGGTCAGCACTTCAGTAGGGCCGTCTCTGAGCCCCCCGCTGACCCCCAGGCTCTTGTGCTCTGCGTTCACTGTGTTCAACAAACAATCCTTTTTCACAGAAGTGCACAACTTCCAAGTATTATCCCACAGTCATGTAACAAATCTATGCCGTATTTGGGCCATGCAATGAATGGATTTAGAAAATCAGTGTAGGTAGTGGAGATCTCATCAAAGCAGGTTGGTTTCTGCTCAGTAGAATCTCAGGCAGTTTTAACAACTCTGAAGCTGCTTTTGGCTTGCAAAATATTAACAGAGTGTTTTTCTGATCTAGTAAAGAACAATTGCAGAAGTAAACAAGGCACCGCATGGCACCCGACAATTTACAAGGCATAAGTAAGATTAGTCCCAGAGGGACCCACAACTTGCTATAAAATGGCATTGTCAGAACCAAAAAACAAACAAACATCTTCCCAGGGACTATAAAGTGGAATTTTTAGGCACAGAAATTACTCTAGCATGTCCCCAAAATCATAAGGTCAGGAGAACCTTCTCGCTGCTTTGCACAGTGGCAGCTGTGCCATTCCAGCTGCACAACATCAGGAGGTTTTAGTCTAGAGAATTCCAGCAGTGTGTCACTTGCTGGGTTTGCCTTAGCCTCCCTCAAAAAGCAGCACGCTTTTACTGGTTTGGTTCATCGATAGGGTCGTGCCCTCCAATGAATGTATTGGCCGTAGCAGTGCAAGTATGACATTTCTTAAGTGGACTTCAACAAGTTCCCTGCACAGCTAATCTGAAGGCTGATCACCTACTGCCTCACGGATGTGAAATGCAGTGCCATGGAGGAACAAGCCAGCTTGTCTCAGGCACCTGAGGCCACCCCTGAAATGATGGAGATTTCTCCTGCTCCAGGTTCAAAATGTGTGGAAGGGCAGGCGGGAAAGAGTCTCCAAAGTAGAGCTATGCCACAATCGGGAAGAGGCTCTGGGATATAAAACTGTGAAGAATATTTTATAAAAATTGTCTGTTGCGAAGCTGAATAATGAATAAGAGCTTATTAATTTCCAGCCAGGCTATCAACTCATGCAGGCAAACCATCCAGAAGCTGGGTGTTAACTACTGCGCAGATTGAGTAGGGCAGTGAGAGGGAAAGGGGTAGAGAAGGGGGAAGGCTGTTTGGGGAACTCCTCAAGGCTTTGCTAAAGCATGAGAAAAAAGGAAAGCCATATGGTTATCAAAAGTTGGCAGGCAAAGGGCTGTTTCACTTGAGAGCCTGTAGAAAAATGCCCACAGTGGCGAGGAATGGCTTAGCTGGAAACAGCAAACAGGCTCTAAAGTGGTCAGGAGGGTGCAGGAGCAGCCACTGGCCACCGTGAAGAGGTGGAGAGGACAGAGCACCGGAGCTGCTGCTCTGCTCCTCGGAACTCTCTGAGCGTGTCCCGGTGGGAACAGCCGTTGCCACTGGAAGCTGCTGTCACAGCTCCTTCCAGCTGGGGAGGGGACACAGTTCAAGCCCTCCTGGGCAGCGGGAGGCTGTAGGAGGCCACCCTGTCCCCACGGCTGCTGAGCAGTCTTGCCCCATGGTGGGGAGCTTTCACTTACAAGGTCATGACTGAACTTTCCCTCATCCTTTATTTTAAAGCCTTAACTTTGTGGTTCTGCAGTGACGCTACTGCCACTGTTTGCACTTCAATTACCATACGTATCAGTAGCACTTTTCTGACAATTTCACGTTTTGTGAAATTATACAGGTGCTTGTGTTTTCACCCATCAGAAAAAAAAAAAAAATGATGCTACTAATAAAATTTATGAATACCCTGAGCAAATGATACAGATCGGTTGCATAGGCAATGAAGTTACAGAAGCCAGTAGAGCCAGGTATTTGAATAGCCCATGCAGTTAAAGGAAAGGGCTCGCTGTCTTTAAAATCCATGGAGGCGTTCAAAATAAGATTATTCTGCAGTCCTGTTCACAACAAGCTGTGCAGGTTGACGCTAAGCAACCCTTCCCATTGATACGGCCTGCACAAGCTCTGAGCATTAAGCCTGAAGTCCCTGGCTGAGGATGATAACTTAAACATCCCTGTCCCTCTGAGCAGATGCACAAAAGCATTTGCTAGCACAGTTGTCGATTTTGTGGAAATGTCCTGTGGGATGCCATAAGCATCTTAACAACTGGCTGAACTTTCTCCTTCACTCCCGCAGGTGTGGTTAAATGAACCCGCAGTCGGTGCTAGCTGGAGGCAGGCAGGGCTCAGCTGCCTGGTGCCTGCCAGAGAGTGTCCGTGATGCGCTGCTCGGCTTCCCGAGCACACTGCTGGCTGCTAAATGCTCAGGAAAGGTTTCATCTCCCACCACGGTGGGGGAGTAAGTGAGACTCCCCTGGACTCAGAAAGTTAATCCTAACGTGCCTGATTTTCATCATGCTCGCCACAGCAGCCAATCAGCCGTCCTCAGCGGTGGGAACGGGAATTTCCAACATTTCTCAGGTCTTTGCTGGTTGCAGATCATCTCCCGGTGACGTCCCGTCCGCAGGTCACCCCAGTGACCGGCCCCCAGCAGCACAGCCCCAAGGCGCGTCTGCCCTGGAGGCGCCTGGAGAAACCTTCCTCCCGGCACGGGGAGAGCAGGCGTCTCCTCTCCAGAGCACAGGACGTGGTGGTGGCGACTCCTAACCACTGTCCTGGAGTACAGAAACCCCCACGTAAACCCCTTTCTCTCATACTCATGAAATCCCTTAGCTCTACACGTGGCTCTGCTCTGGCGGGATCTCATGCCTGCGCTTTGTGTTGGAATCACTTTTGTTTTGTAAAGAAACTCAAGTGGATTTGCTGCTCTGAATGAAGGACAGGGGTTGTAGCTACTGGTTTTGGTGACATTTTACCCAACCCTGGCAGTATTGGCCATGAACTGAATGTTAACGAGGCAGAGCAGCATACCAGAGACTTCAAAACAGGCTTTTATTTTCGTGTTTGTTTGGGTTTTATTGCCACTACTGATATCTCTTCCAGGAAACAAAATTTCCCAATACTTCCTTTTCTGGTAAGTCATATAGTGTGTGTGGTATCCTACCCACAGGAGATTTGAGAGGCAAAAGGCAAGAAAGGGACACAGTCTCTGGGTTTCTTTTCTGGGCTGAAGCCACACTCCAGTTTGGACTGTGCAATACACAAGAGTGCTGTTCTGCTCAGGGACTGATCAAAGCTCTCACGGGCAATGGGAGAAGTAGGAGGGAGTACTAGATGAGAGTGCAGGTGGAGCTACAGAGAGGTATTTAAATGAATGCACTGGCTAGAAAGAGAACAGAATTTCACAGCATCTGAAAGCCAAGAGTAAAACTTTGAACTATTCCTTCTGAATTTGCACTTTTCCATATACAGCACAGCTGAGTTAGAGCCTGAAATGGAAACATGCAGACACAGAACAACGCTGATTTTCTAGATCTTTTGATCCTTCAACCTGTTTTCTCCAGGAGCAAGGTCTAGCTTCTAGGAAAATAAAGGTAGCACAAATGAAAGTGCTTTCTGTCAGGATAAGAAATCACCAAATACCAGTGTAAAAGTTCAAAATGAGTTCCCAGCATTTAGAATCGGTGACTGGCTAATCTCTGCTCCGGAGGATTTCAGTGTCACTGTTGTCCTGTCCTTTATTTAAAGCCAAAACCATTATTTGTGGGCAGCAGGTAGGTTTTCAGACTCTTTCCAAAACCCATTCAGAACAATTACAGGGTAGGATGTACTAAAACTAAAATGTTAATTCAGCCACAGACTAAACAATACAGCCAGCTGCTTCTAGGATTCTTGTGAGCAACAGCAACACATAGATAGGACTGAAGGCATTTCATCTTGCAAAGCCATCGCGGTATGAAATAGAACATTCGAAGGGAATGGAGAAATCCTTTAGCTCCAGCATGTTTCATGAAAACTGAATGCAAGGTACATTCTCTTACACTGTGGTCTCCCGTCCCAGATTTCACCCCTGGCTGGAACAGTGTGCCAAAGCTCAGAGCAGTGAATCTCCCCTTGCCCAAAGAAGCCCCCTGTACACCAGAATAAATACAGGCAGAGACTGGAGCCTCATCTCATTTTGGACTCGCCTTGTTTCCCCACAGGTTTCCTTCCCACCAGTTCACTGGTCTTGATACTCAAAAGCAGATCCTGATTATCCTGGGTAGGGTGGCATTAGGTTTTGAGTACAGGAGAAAAGAGAGGTCAGAGTGTAGTCTTGATCCAAAGAACCAAACCCCCCTCCAGCCTACGCAACTGTGTAAAAGCCTGAACTACTCCTGAATAACGAGTTGCCTTTTTGTAGACGTTGAGCTGACAGCCTTGTTCAAGAATCCGTTTTTAATGCATGAAAGGAAACATAGAAGATAGTTGAGAATGCAGCTTGCCAAAACTTCTGCCACAGAACAGCAGACCTTAAAGGTCTGATTCAAGATGCTTTAGCAAACACAAGTCTAAAAGGCTTGAGTATAGTGCAGCTTTGCAAAAACAAGCGGCCTTCAGCCACAAAATGTATTTGTAGTGCTGTAGGCTGGGTTCATGTTCATCTCCAACCACTAGCTCAAGTCACAACAAAGCTTATTTGCTGGAAGTTTGTGCAGCTAACATTCACAAACATAGGCCATGGCAACTCCAGAACAACTTAAAGATTTAAATGCTAATGACGCCAGCATAGGCTAAACAATAAACCTATCAAGAGAAACAAACTTGAAACAATGTGAAGAAGCAGATACAGACAATAAAAATAGAAACATTTTCAATGTGAATATAAACCAGATAAAATAATTAGAGGGTAATAGCTAATAGAAGAAGTCATATTAGTCCAGAGAAGCTACTCCTTGAATGATAACTCATTACTTATCACCAGACTCTGGCTATCTTGCCCACAACAGACTGCTTAGGTAATGTACATCTTGTTCATTTATTATCAGTTCTCTTTGTTTAAGTCTGACTTTGCACAGAAGCCACCAACAGAAAGGCACTACCGAGTGTGCTGCTCTGCTGGCAGGACTCAGGGTTGTCAGCGCAATGAAAGGATCTCGGCCGCACAGCCCAAGTTAAAGTTGCCTCCTGCCAATCCACCACATGCTAAATTCCAGTAAAGTGCTTAATTAGGGTAACGAATGCAAACTGCACTCTAGTCTGCACTACAGGTAGCTGGAAACACCCTCTCCTATGTAAGCAACAATGCCTTGTCCTTTAGCAATGTGGCCTAGACCTTATCTATTCCCAAGAGATCCTATGTGCACTCCCCTTGTAAATTTTCCTATTTCATTGTACAGAAAGTATTTCTGGTTAACTATTTTGGTAGTCTCATTTATATTCCCTATTTCTAGAACGGCTCATGCATATTTTTAATGCATGAATAGTTCCAGGGAAGTCAGTGGGAAAATTTATATCTTTGAAGTTAAGGGTGCGCGTACATCTTGACAAAGTCAAACTGGACTTTGCATCTATACTTAAAGCTGTGTCTGCCAGAACATACTTAACTGAACCAGATTTCTAACAGTAGTCCATTATTGCTCCAACCGGAAACTCAAAATCAACCCTTGATTGTACAATCATCATATATGGCTGGCTTCCTTTTTCCTACCTCCTTCCCAAAATATTCAAGCCATGGAGCAGGAAAAAATTATGGTGGTGGCTGGGAAAGCACATTCAGACACAGAGCCGGCTGATGATGACGGCTGGCGAGCCGTGCTGACAGTTGCTGTCATCCCACATTGGGATGCAGAGGCCCGCCGTGGTCCCACAGGCTCACTGCACAGAGGCCAGTGTCCCGTTACCAGGCTGTGGTGACTTGCACTCACTTCCACCTCGGTCTGGATCAAAATCCATCATCTAAACATTTTCTCTTGCCAGTCCCCTATCCTCTGCATGCCCCGGTCACTTGTAGCCCCTCCCCATAAAGCACATCAGTCATCATGTTGATGGCTTAACACCACACTGGCCTTTTTGGTATAAATGTTCCACTTAGAAAAAAAACAACAAAATTTATGAATCTGTGTCATGGGAAAAAAGTGGTTGCATTTTCCCTATCTCAGTTTCATTTTCTCTACTGCAAGGATGGGCCTGTCTATGACTCCACAGAATAGAAAAGTATTAGAAGAATATGCTCAGTAGAAAACCATAACTGCTGCCTACGTAATGTTCAACTATCAAGTAAAAGCAACATTTTTTGCTTGGTGATTACATTCCTTCCCACTCTCACACAAGCCAAGAGGAGTCTCTTGTGGTTACAGCCATGGAATGGGAGACGAGCACCGGGCTGCTCTTGGCTCAGCTTGGTTTTTTGTTTGTGTTGGACACATGGTGACACTCCCCTCATCAGATCCAAGGTCCTAAAAGCAATTTGTTTGTGTTTAAAACCAGAAAAGGCAGTGCTTTCCTACCAGCACGCACACTGGGGAAAGCTGCCCTGCTGACAAAGCAGCTGCCTGTCCTTGTGCTTCAGCTTAGGTGCTGTAGGTCCCATGGCTCCCAGGCAAATCTCAGGCGTGTCAGACAAACATAAACACAAACTCTCCAAACTTTTGCTATCGAGCCAGCTCTACTGCCGGTTTGACAACTACAACAGCCAGTTCTCAGCCTTATTGGGCCCTATCAGAGCCACGTGGACACGGAGATCTGCTCACACAGCCCAACTTGCAAGACCAGTGCCTCAATTTGTCATGCTCGTATAATAAATCAATTTATTTCCTTTAAGTAGGGATTAGTCAGCAAACTCTTACTCATTCATTTCTCATACAGTAAGTCACACTTCCCGGTAGCATTCGTGTGAATGTGGTTTCTGACTGCAGCCTTACCTTCGCTTTAGGTGGAGCAGCGAGACGAGGTTGGTTTTCCTGCGATATCAATTCTCTTGTGGCTCCTCACAACCAATAAAGACCGTATTTTTGTACCCATGGTGAAGAGTTACTGGACACGTGCCCTACACTGCGTCCCGTGCAGCATGGGGTAGGGAAGGGATGTTGTCCTCCAAACGTCTGCCCCGACCTGGATGCGAGTGGCCAAGCAGCAGAGCTGAATTTCACTTCAGCCACCCTCCGATACGCGTCCCGGGGGCGTACGCGGAGGCTTTTCGTGCAGGAGCAGTCTGGGACGCTTCCCCACTGAGCCGTGGGAGATCCCGTCTGTCCTTCTGGGCGAACAGGTTGTTGTGGAAAGCAGCAGAGCGGCGGCACCTCGGCCTGCCCCGGCGGGGCCGCGTGGGAAGGCAATCGCCGGTTATCGGCACCGGCAAAGGCACCACTGCGGCTCCCTGCAGCCCCCCCGGCCCCGCTCGAACTGCTGCGTAAACTCTGCCAACAGCCCCTGCAGTGCCTCTTCAGTACTCAGCTTTGGGGCTCAAAACAGACCGAGCAGGCAAGAAGATTATTCAAAGGGCGGTTTGTCTGGGAAAGGGATGAGGTAGGTGGCTCGGTGGTTTTATCTCTTGCAGCCTAAAAAACACAGAAAGGTCCACAGTGGTCATTGGGGGTGAAAATTTATAGCTTATTAATAAAAAAAAAAAAAAAAAAAAAAAAAAAGAAGCCATTTGTAGGCCAGATCGTAGATTCTAGGCTGTCATCCAATGTCAGGAAATGTTCCCCTCCCGGCAGGGGATCCAGGCTAAAAGGTTATTTAATACTTTCTGGTTGATTTTGTATTTGGAATAAGTGCCTTAAATAATTGGTTTTGGCCTGAGAAACTGTTTGCTTACCTGGCACCTGAACTTCAGTGATAAACTTTAATGTCCTCCTCTGAGTGTTCCCACAGCACACAAAGGAGACTTCGTGCAGTCCTGCTAGCTATAAATCTGACCTTTTTTTAAAAAAAAAAAAAGCAATTGAAATCAGATGTTGCTCATTATCTCTTCCAACTCCTATCTATCTGTCAACATCCAAAAGTTTTAAAAGCTCTGCTTAAGCATGTCTCCACTCCATTGATGGAATATCCTTTAATATTTTATAGCTCTGACTTGCACTTCTAAAAGTACTAATTAATCTCACTAGATAAAAACTGGCACAAAATGGCACAAATGAGAATAGCTTCATCTTTCCTCCCAGCAATCGTGTGCCAGTTCATCTTGGAGCATGTAATGATTTACTGTAATAGTTTTAGGCCCGTAATGGGGCCAATAACTGGCATCTGGAAGCTGTGAGGCTCTTTCCCAATGGATGCCATTCACATATAGTTATTTAATTAATTAACAGCTCCACTAGCATAAGCCAGTAAAGGGTCTATTACAGTTTTTTTTTTCAAATAACTTCCAAAGTAAGAACATATGCTGCACACTGCTTTTCCCTTGGAGAGCGCTTAATGTTGCAACCTGTTTATCCTATGACTGATTTTCAAATTCCACCTTAACCAGCTGCTTTTTGCTCGACTTTAGGATTCAGCAGAGAGCGGACTGCTGAGCACTCAGCAGGAGCAATGCAATAACATTCTACCTGCATGTGCTCATTCCCGCGCGAGGTGCCAAAACCCTGCAATGGCTGCCTGGCTGCCTCCGCGCTGTTCCCAGACGTTACACGTGATGCACTTTCACTTGCCCATTTCTCTGCTGGGAAAAAAAAAAAAAAAAAAAAAAATATATATATATATATATCTCAAGATGTGGAGTTCATTTGAAATAAGCAAAATATCAGTGGGAAAACAAACCGCACCAGAAACTGGAAGGAGTTGGTCAAGTTTGTAAAAAGCATTTGAGAGGCCAGTCCCTTGTGAAATGTGGAAAAGCTATCAGGGGCCATAAAGCCAGCAAAGATGGGTTTGGTCTGGTTACAGTGCCAAAGGATTTTAGTTCCCAAGCGATGAGGATTCCTATTCCCGAGGTGCAATTAAAAGCAAACCAGGTCCTAATGGGTGCTGGTCTGCGGTAGGCTGAAGGGCTTGTCCGTGAGCCTCCCTCCTCCTGCAAGGAGCTGAAGTAGGAGATAAGAGTGGCTTCCCTTGCCCCTGTTTGGGCACAGGCACGTGCAGCGTGCAGCGCCGGCTCGGTGACACGCAGCAGGTGTTATCTGCCCCATAAAGATGTAGCAGACATGAAACTGGAGAACTTCTGACATGACGGGAATGTTATTTAACAGTAACTGTCGAAGGTAAGCCCTGCTCACATGGCATGGCATAGCTCCCTGGTACTGGGTCCCGATTTATAGGACATGTCAAAAGTTACATAATCCTTGATGCAGGATCCTTTTCTCTCCTCTGGCTGTAATGTACTGTGTCAGTCCTCCTCCCGCTCTCCCTCCCACCGGCCCACAGCACAACCTTCTGCCTGCAAGGCTTTTACCGTGGCGTGCTGCAAGGCTTTGGAAAAACAGCACTGCCCTGGAGCAGCCGTCACCCAGAGCCCTTCAGCCGGTGCCTCGTCCCTGTGATCTGCCATGGATTGTCCAAGGGCTGTCAGAAATGCAGGGGAAGGCCAGCAAGAGCTCGGTTAGATACCCGTGTGAGAGAGATGTCAGGTTTGCTTTGCCTAGATGTCAGGTATGGATGAGTGAAGAGGCATCTTTTTAACTCTGATGTTTCATGCTCCTGCCTAGGTAGAGCCTCAGGCTTGACAAGCCTTAAAAGTTCAGCACCCAGCTCGCTTCCAAGTCCACCTGGCCTCTGAAATTACTCTTCAGCCTAAAGCCCCTAAAGCGACCGGTCTGTCAGGGCTTCTGGGTGATGGCAAGACCTCAACGGTGGCACCTTCCTCCTTACAAAAGGTAATGGTCGTCGCTACTTCCTTGCAGAGAGAGCAGGGACTGCAGAGGAGGGTGGTTCCCACTCTTAGGCAGTTGGCACATAGTAAAAGCACTCTCCAGGACGTGGCACATGGACTGAGCTCCTTCTCCTGTAGGACGTTCAAACACGCACCTCCCACCGTCCTCAGCAACACCTCACCCCCTACGATAACGCACTCGCCTGGGCAGGAGGAAGGAGGGAGACTGTGTGTTCATTATTGCTTGTGTCTTTATGATCTGTAACTTGCACAAACTCCATCAGAAAGACCTGAAGCAGAGGCGAGAGCTCAGGCTCTCTCCTCCCAGGAGAGTGCCATAACCAATAGGCCATGCGAGGTCATCTCAGCTGACTTCACATCTCAAGTAGCTAGATACCCAGATGTCTCGTACAGGCAGCAGAGAAACAGGCATTTCCTGTCCTGAAAGGAGACGAATATCTCTCCTGAGTTTCTTTCCTCTCCGCTGACTGTACGCGGAGCCTGGGGTGACTAACACGGTCTTTGAAGTCCAGTTGTTCAATATCTAAATCCGGGCAGATGAGTTCCCCCTCTCCTCCCTCCACCCCTTTCCTGTCTTCTCTTTCTAGCCCAGTAAACCTTTCATGTTGCCGCAGCTCTGACAGGAAGACCCAGGAGCACACGGCTATTCTAATCCCCTGCAGAACAACCAGGACTTAGGGGCTAGAAGGCTCACCCTGGAGCTGTGGGCTCCTCCAACGATCTCCAGTTCTCCTGCGACCCAGTGACCCCCCAGCAGAGGAGGTTTATGAGATATGGCTTCCTTTCACAGCTTCTTTTAATAGACAAGGCTGACCACTTCTTGGTTCTTCGCAACAGATGCTGTAGGCACCAATCCTCTGCAAAGAACTGTAAAAAAATTATTAATTAATATGGTAATTAATACCCTGTGGGTGCTTTGTGCTTTTGTGGAAAGCAAAGCAACTATAAACCCAGTTTAACTGGCTGTTTTGTTTTGCTGATTTGTACTGCTCTAGTACTCCAATGAATATACTATTTAAATGGGATTTAGGCTTAAAATTACTCACCTTCAAAATATTAGAATTATCCTACAGTAGCCATGACTTCAGGTTTCTTGATTAGTGTTCATTTACAGATAAATTATCTCATGGAACGAAGGTTAAGCATATATATTGGGAATTTAAAGTAAAACACCTCTAACAGATTTTGCAACTAAACTAAAACCAAACAGCAGAAAATCCAAAGCTCTTATACCTGAAGTTACACTTAAAATCCAAACCGGTTAAGATTAGCAAGTGCTTTCTGCAGCAAATATATTCCGTGATAGAATTTCTTTCATGAGAAAACCCCATATTCCATCATAAATTAAAAAAAAAATATTTTGACCAGCTACAGCCACAGATTATGACCTCTATGAGGTCATAGGCAAGTCCAAAGACCCAGAGTAGGACCTTCGTGTGCTGACTTCTTACCTCCACATCCAGCCTTTAGACCAACCTGCTGTTTCTTTTCTAAGTTTGCAAACACATTAGACTGAACTTCTGAAAATATTAAGAGGTTCTTTGATTCTCTGCTGTGAGATAAAACCCAGTTCACAGTCTGGAAACTTCCTGGGATGGAAACACGATGGTGCAATTTGCTGCTTCCAGTAGTGTCACTAGAGGATCAGTGAGTACCGTTAAAACCATACCACAGAACTTTCACTGGACATATGCCATATAATGTAAAAACACTCAAAGGATTAACAGCAATCAGGGGATATATCTCTAGCTGTGCACACACAGCAAATCTACAAAGAAGGGATTAGAGATATAGGATATGAACCTGCAAGGAAAAAAATACAGTGGAGCCAGAAATGAAATCATAAGAGAAAGGTTATTCCTCTATTTGTAAAATTTTATACAAATCCTTGTGTTACATGATGGCTTATTTATATTACAGCAATATCTAGAGATCCTGCAATAAGAGATCAGTCACAAGATGCTGGGTTTTGTACACACTGGTCATGAAAAAAGTGTATATGCCCTGAGGCTTGCAGTCCAAGAGGTATTTCTGGCAAGTGCATCCACATGGTTGTACTCTTGACATGTGGAAATCCAGTCCCAGGCATTAGCCCAAAACAGTTATTTAAACAAGAAACATCTTTATTCTTTAAATGCTCATTATTAAAATAAAACGCCCTTATTATGAATTTTAACAAGACCCATGCACTCCCCAGCTAGCTTTACTTCATCACCCTCTTATCTAGAAAGTTTTTCCTAATGTCAAACCTAAATTTTATTAGCTACAAATGAAGCTGGTTCCTTCTTTGCTATCTCACATTGGCCATGGGGAAAGATTTATCACTATCCTCCTTACAATAAACTTTAACATATTGCAAGATTTTTATCATCTCTCTTCTTTAGACTCTGCTGTTCCCAGACTAAACAAACAATCCTTTCAACATTTCCTCCTAGGTTTTTCCCTCTATGCCTCTGATATTTCTAGTGTCTCTCTCCTGGACTCTCTCCAGTTTGTCTACATTTTTCTTACAGTGCAGTGCCCAAAACTGGACACTGTATTCCAGCTGAGGCCTTACCGGTGCCAAGTGGAGTAGAATAATTATCTCCTATGTCTTAGGTTGCAGTCACACATCCTGTTCTGCCTGCAGCTGAGCTGGGTGAAAAGTTTATTTCTTTTCACCCACTCCAGCTGCTTATCACCACCCCTCAGCTGCAGGCTCTCCCCCTCCCAGGTCAACAAGCGTAACTGCCGTATAATCGTTCCCTAACACAATCTGATCCAGGTTAGAGTCAATAATTCAAATAACAGGTCTTTTCTACTCATCAGTTTAGCAGACCCAGGTAAGGCTGAGGTATAAGCAGGTTTGAAGGAACTGAAACCAGTGGTGGGAGGAGATGATGAGCAACGGGGTTATGGGCAGCAGCTTTCGCTGCTGGAGTAACTGCGGCCAGAGGAGGACATCTGATATTGTCCTTATATTCAGCCTCTAATCCACTCTGCACCCCCAGTCCCTCATGATGCTGCTGCCCAGCTGGGAAGTTCTCTTTTTGCATTTCTCCTCCCAAAGTGCAGTAGTTTGCACTTAATCATCAGGCTGGTTTGATAACATTCTCCCCCATTATCAACACCATTTGAAAATTCGGATTTTGTTGTCCTGAGTAAAACCACCCCAAACAGAGATATTTTGCAAGCACATTCACTCATATCACACCCAAGGTGGTTATGAAAAGGACAAAGAGAACAGCAAGGTCTGGCTGAAATGCTGTCCTAGTGTGACAGCAGTACCTTCATAGCCATCACCTACACATTCTCCTCCATTTCTTGCAGCCACCTTACAGTGACAATGTCTTGTGTCTGCTCACAGCACTGCACAGAGCAGGGGCATGGGGCTTCCTAGTGCCACAGTACAAATTTCTATTGCTTTCTCTACTTACTCTGCCTATGGAGAACACCTAGCAGGCCACCACACAGGCTTCTCAGGCTGGCAGGAGAAATGCAGCTGAACAACTTGGAAATAGTGTACTGATTAGACTGGAGATGAGCCTTTCTTTTCTTAATCAGTGGCTTCTGCAAAGGCACGATGGAGGCCTAAGTTGGCTGCTGATCAGTCTCACAAGTTCTCTGCTCCCTTGCAGAGGAGTGTTTTGTGTGCCGGGGAATGAAGATTTGGGAAAACAACAATGCTAAGATACTCTTGTCACAGACCTGCACAAGCGGAGGTCTAAAGGCATTTCTCTACCAGCCAGGACCACCAGACCATTCAGGGAGGTGACCCTGAGAGGCTCCTTCCCACAGCTGACGTTTCCTTCTGCCATTTAGACAGAGTTACACCTGTTTTGGGTTACTGCCTTCAGCTTTGGGTATACCCGCATCCCACGCTTTGTTTACCATCCATCCTTTCCCTGTCCATCCTCATTGCCTATTTTTCCCCTTCTTGACTACTTTCCATCTCCTGCCATTGAAACTTCCCTCCAACAGCTTCCTTCTTGTTTTCTCAGGCTCCCCTCTGCCACCTTGCCATTCTCCCCCTGGCACCACGGCAGCCCCTATTAACCGCATGCATGCCCTGCTCTACCCGGGCACAGCTGCGATGACTCTGTTCACGCTGCAAACCCTGTCTATTTTCTCAGGCTCTTTGGAAGTGGAGGGTTAGGTAGTGCGAGCTGATGGCAGGATGAAGTAATAGGAGTAGAGATGAGGTGAAGTTCTTGTTCTGTCTTGAACACAGACTGCCAATCATGCCATAATAGATGGTGGTTCTAGGCAGGGAACAGCTTTTCAGCCCCACCAAAATTAGACCACTAAATGGAATTTCCTCTATGGGCTAATCAGGATTTGAACCCATTTCTCTGGAGATAAAAGGCACAGCTCAATCTCCTGATTTGCGAGGTCATCTGGAATACAAATCAACTTTCATGTATTCATCTGAAATGTTTTTATGTAAGGGATTTTATCTTTTTTTTTTTTTTTTTTCAATCTGCTTGTTAGTGCCTTGTGCCTAAACTGGAGCTGTGAAGTGACTTTTTCTCACTAGAGGCTAAATAAAGTACTGTACTGTTTTTATAAATGTCCTAAGCTTTGCCAGAAGGCTGGCAATGAAAGAGGCTGGCAGGAGACAGGCACCGTCTCTGTTCTGTATCACGGAAGTGAGCCCAAGGACGCCGGCCAGTGCCTCCCATCCGCGGGAATGTGACCAATTAACGCGCAGATGATGTCATTGGATGGCAAAAGCACTTCCCTCGCAGCTCTCCCTGCTCTGCCAGCTCCAACCTTCAGTGTATTTTCCTCAGTCTGGTCCATGTACTGTAATAACTAAGTCAACTGGAAAAAATATTGAAGAAAAGACTGAGGAAAAACAGAGTGTAGGGGCAGCTGGAGCCAGCAAAGAAGGCACACTGAGAGCTATAAAGAAGCTTTGTGCAGCAGCTTCTCTCAACTTCAGGATATTTAGTTCCACAGGAGTTGGAGAAGATGGGTAATAAGCTGGCTTTTATTTTAAGGGATATCCCTTGTAGTCTCAGCTGCATAAAGATCAGTCTTCGGGTATGTGGAAACAGTGCTAACAGTATCTCTCTTTCAGTACCTCCTGCTGCTCACACCATTGAATGGCCTTGGTCCAGCTAGAGAGGAAAAAGGCCTTCCATCCCCAAACAGTCATCAGTCTGAAGGAAAAGAGGTGATGAAAAGAGGCTGCGAGTGATGAAGTGAAGTAATAATTTATAGAAAGATACATGACCACAGCACTCAGGTGCCTGCTCAGGAACGGGGCCCGGGACTGCTAATCCTGAACGTGAGGAGTATGTGCCCGTGCTTCCCCGGCTCAAGGCAGGCGAGGAGAGCACGGCTCCCGGCTTCGCACACGCGCTGCCCTGTGCGCAGGGCCGGGGAGCACCGGCCTGCCCAGGGGATGGAGGATGCTCCGAGATGAAGCCGGGCAGGCGAGGGTCAGCGAGGGATGTGGTCAGGCTCGGATGTAGCCGTGGCATCGCTCAGGCAAGGCCCCCGGGGCGAGGGCTGGAGCAAAGGCAGCTCCCAAGCGAGGGGTCAGGCCCCAGCGGGGCTTCTGCCAGCGCGTCTCGCACAGCTCCTTCCCCAGCAGCCTGCTCCCTGGTTGCAGCCACGCCGCGTCCGAGCTGGGCTGGAGCACGGGCAGCCAAACCCTCAGAGGGGGGACGAGGTTTCGCAGAGGCCGTCGGTGCACCCAAGGGCTGGATGTACCTAAGTAACTGCTTACAGAGCTGGCCTACAGCGGTGACCACTCCACACAAACAGCGAGTCAGGACATCCAAATGGCCACGTGCAGTTCAGGAGTATGTACACATTTGCAAATCACTTTTGTATTATTGTGAATCAATACATGCAATGCTGATTATGTATATATATAA